ACACACACACGCACACGCACACACACACACGCACACGCACACGCACACACACGCACACACACACACACACACAACAGGCAATACCTGGGCAGTACCAGCAAGTCATTGCACTAGTAGCAGGGGCATTAGCTGGGGCAGAGCCAGCAGCAGAATGACATGATAGAAGTGCACCAACCAACTGGGGGGGCAACACAGCTTGCTGCCCGGTCATCGAAACCCCCCATAAACAAAAGGCTGAATACAACAGCTCAACAGCGCAACATTCAGCGGAAAAGAAACATAATACTAAAGTAAACAGTTGAAGGGGGGAGCAGCACATTAACATCTCCTCATGTCATCTCCCTTTCCCAACATGCAAGGATGCCAAACCCCTCTCTGACATTCACATGTCATTCATTGAATGCCTCATACACGACAAAACCATAAAACTTGATAAAAGAAAAACAAGATGGCGCACCCATGTGCGTCTTGTGGATTTGCGGGGCGCAACTGCACCAGACAACCACATTGGCATGAATCAGAGGAGAGACATACAATCCTCTTACTGTAGCGTTTTACTATGAATCAGTAACAATTGAGACTGCTACAGCAAATTGTGGGCTTACACTGATTTACACTGAATCACGACTGGGATATCCTCGTCCAGCCTCACAATCAATGCTCAGTGCCCATGTTCTATTCTCGTTGTAAAGGGAAGCTGTCTCTACGGGAGCAGTGGCCGAGGCTCTTCCAGCCCCAATGGGAAGAGGCGTGTGTTTGCGTTGTATTCAATTGTTAAACCACACTACGGGTCTCCCCGAGTTTTCGGCGTCGGGGGGAGTGGTGGTTCAATTTGAGCCTTTTTTATTGTTTTTGTTTTTTTAAGCTATGTTCTTCTCTCAATTTCAGCTCACACTACCTACGTACCACTACTCCTAATTGTAGGCATACGGGGAACCCTGTAGCAGCCAGAACCGTGTTCACGAGAGAACATGCTGGGGCTGCTCCCTACCTGCAGGCGGGCGATACCGGCTAGGGGACAGCTGGTAGCATCAGGAACCATGCCAACAGGACCAATCCCTGAGCCTCCCCTGAGGTCCCCTCCCCTACGAACATCAGCAGACTTTGCTCAATGCCGATCGGGGGATCCAGTGGTCTATCTCTAGGTGCCAGGCGCCAAGCATGCCCCAGAAGGTACATGAGGCCAATGGGGATTGAACTCACGGCCTCCTGAATGCCACTTGCGTGCCTTACCAACTGAGTTAGGCCACTGGGCACTGGGTTCAATCCCCATTGGCCTCGTGTACCTTCTGAGGCATGCTTGGCGCCCGCCACCTAGAGATAGACCACTGGATTCCACAGTGGGCATTGATCAGAGTCTGCTGATGTTCGTAGGGGAGGGGACCTGAGGGGAGGCTCAGGGATTGGTCCTGTTGGCATGGTTCCTATTATGGAGCAACAAGTAGGGCAGGAAGGGACAAAAAGAGTTTGGAACAATGACTACCTAATCCAAAAGATATCTTTGAACTTCATCGCCGACGTCTCTTTCCTGGCTGAAATGGCACGGGGGTATACGTTGGGTCCCGACTATGGACAAGAGTTCGATGACGCGTCTCGCAGAGCTCGGAATCGGAGATGGAGGGGCGCAGCCTTTCTGCTCTCTCCGGGAATTTTTTTTCTTCACGTGATGTGTAATCGAACCCCTGGGCCTTTAGCCGTTCCGTGCGGCAACAATCGGAACACAAAGTGTGGGGCCAATGGGGAGCGATAGTCGGCAACAGTCCGCCAAGGAATATTAATCTCATTAGAGGGGAGCAAAATAGAGTAAGGAGGGAAGATAGTATCAACAATTACAAATCCAGAATTAACAAGCCCAGAACACTGTGTTTTCCGATGGAAATTGACAGGGGCGGCCAATCTGGGCTAAGTCCTCACGTACATCCCACTCGCAGACGAGTGTCCTTTCCTTGTCATATGGGAAGGGGCGCGAAGGGGGATATTCGTGTGGTCAGGGCCCCGACTATCCAGCTGGTTCAGTCCACATGGCTGTCGGTCGGCAATTACGCACGCATCCGCCATTCACAAAACACTTAACATCAACCCCATCCATTCGGTAATCGCCAATGCAAAGGAAATCAGGCAATATGACGCCACTTTCATGCCTGGTGTTCCTTTGAGAGAGAGGATTACCCAGGAAGCTAATGGGCAAGTTCAGGAAGAAGTTTTTGTAGAAGCAACCGATCATCCATCAAAGGGAAGGGAAAGGCAAATGAGAAAAGGCCAAGATTACGCTTCCAAAGGATCAGCGACTAGCGCTAATCATGCAAGTGAAAACTCGTAGGAAGAGAAAAGGACAAGCAACTAGTTCATCCAGTCATTCACCAGCAATCCAGACAACTAGTTCATCCAGTCATTCACCAGCAATCCAGACTAAGTGTTTCGAGGGGTGCTCGTCGGTCATTAAACAAAAGGGCGCTGAAGAGAAGGAAAACTCATGCATACAATCCATTGGGCCTGTGCATCCAAAAAACACTTCATCAGTGGATCGCAGATGAAGAAATCAGGCTCACATGCATCCCAAGCTTCTCAAGGGCAGCTTATACTCACCGATCATCATCGTCATGTAGGCAAAGGATACTAATCGA